CGCCCGCGATGCAACATGCGTGTCGGGACCGGGTCGCGGCGCACGGCCCGCTCGAATGGCGGAGATGTTGCTGTCGCTCGGCGCCACGCTCATTCTTCCAGAGAGCTGGGCTCCTCTTTTGGGCGCGGGGCAACTTCGTCGACGCGCGGGCGGGCGAAGGTGTCGCTCCCGCCTCAGCGCCGCAAGTGGCGCTCCCGCCTCGGCGCGGCGCATATTTGTCACTCGCCAATTTTTGGAGGCCTGCGCAAGTGGGCGACCTGTCGCCTTCGCCCAGGCTCCGTGCCACAGTCCATCTTCATGTGGCGGGAGGGAGAGTGGGAAATAGGCGAGACCATCTGACTCCCGCGACGTGGCCAACTTGAGTCTGCTCTACTTGCACTCTGCTCTACTCCCGTCTACTCCAGCAGACGAAGCCATCCAGATAGCAGAAGAAGCAACGTGGATAGTTTGGATAAAACCATGCGCATTTGTTTACGAATCTATCAGCAAACAAAAAGAGGGAGGAGCAGTGGACCATTTCTTCAAGGATTAAGTGAGGACTCCTACAGGCAACCCGATGTGGAGAACAGAACCGAAGACGATGCGCCCCTGTTTGGATTTGCGCGAGAGAGGCTCTTTCGTGGGATCGCTGATGTTATGGTGGGCCTTCGTCTATGTTAGTCACGTTTCCTGGCGCCCCCGGTATCTGACTGGGTCGTCGGGTGGTTCCACGGGCTGCGCTACATTCGCACGACCTGGGCAAGCCCACGGCAAAACTCGAACTCGCACCCAGGAGCAGGCACGCAGCAATCGGCCCGGGCACAGCTCAGGCAGGCGTGGCTCCTTCCATCGCCGTCGCCGTGCTTCTGCTTCGACGCTGACCCTACTCGCTCGCGCGCGTGCCGTTCGCATCGCGGGCCAAGTGAGAAGAGATCGCGAGGCAGACCCGCAACCCCGGTCGACAGGGGTGGAGGCCCGGCGCTGCACTGTGCAGCTCCATGCCGCCTGGGCCGAAGCGAGCACGTGTGCCGCCGTGCCCTCGGCATGCTCGGGCCTGCTGGGCTGCCTGCTGGCTGGTGGGGCTTCTGCCGCTTTGAAAGAGCAACGCCCCCCCCGGGCCGCTTAGGATTTCTCTACGTCTCTCGACCTTGCTTGCCTAGAACCTAGAAGAGCGCTCACTGTTTTTCTCCCAATGCCGTTCTCGGCGTCAATATTGGTCCAGGACTGCCAAAGATCGCCCCAAGACGACTAGAATGACCAGCCCTGGACGGCTCAATGAAACCCAGAGGCCCCAAGATGTTGCCCAAGACGTCGCCAAAGATCTTCCAATGTTGCCAACATATTCGCCAAAGGCGCTCTCAAGCAAGATCCTAGGCGGCCAAATGCGCCAAAAAACGTTGGCTCTTCGATTTTCCTTTCTGATCGATTTTCGGCTTCAGGTGGTCTCGGGAAGGCCTCTGAAGCCCCAAGACATCCCCCAAAACAGCCCGCTCAGGGCGGCAACCGAGCCTCTTCGGAAGAACTCGACGGCGCCCGAGATGGCTTCCGGACGCCCAGCAGGCCAGGCCCTCTAGGAAGTCCCAACAGGCTCGCTGCAAGGCGAGTTGAGACGACGGCAACTCACAACGGGTGCACCCGTCCCGGGGTCCAAACGCACTATCTATCCGAGCTGCGCCCGGCCGTGGCGACGAGGGGGCCTCCCGAAGGCCAATTACCGTTGTCTCACCTTGCCATCCTCTGAGAGGCCCCCGAGAGGGTCTCGTAAAGTCCAGAGAGAACCCCAGCAAGCCTCCCAGAAGCCCCCCAGGAGGCAGCGCAGCGATCATGCAACGTTACGGCCATGACTGGCCGCATCATCGAAGCACCGCCTCACAAAACAGCCCCTAACATATGCTTCTGCCTAGCCTGTTCAGGGAAGCTCGGAAGACCCGTCCTGCACAGATGTCGGTGCTGCGCTGGCACGGTGATGGGGTTTGCTGCAGGCATCCCGATAGCAGGCAGCCTCGCCCTGGTCAAGAATTGCTCAGACATCTGGCAGCCCGCATCGCGGGCATTCATGGCTGGGGGTGCGCGTTCGGCTGCAATTTTTGACCCATGCAACGCCATCTTAGCATCACATCGCAATCATGCACTTGCTGTTGCGAAACTCGTTCTTGTTGAGTGGCCATGTCGAAGAAGAAGCCTGACCGACTCCAAATAAGCTTTCCAAATTCGGCCATTCATCCGAATCCGCCACCGCGCCTTCGGCACGTTGTGGCATTCTAGAATGCCTACCGAAGACCCCCAAGAGAGCCAAAAGGGGCCTCCACAAAGCTTCAAATACGCCCCAAGAGCCCTCCAAGACCCTGCCAGCGCAACGCAACGACAATGCAACGCTACGGCGGTGCCACGATATAGCACCGTGGAGCCGCTTCCAAAAAGGCCTCATGATGATTCTGCCAAGCCTGCTCAGGAACAGCGGTAGAAATACCATGCCTGCACTCCGATTCCGCGCTGGCACGGTGGCTGCGTTTGTCGCAGGCCACTGGACACTGCCTGTTCAGAGCTCTCGTTGCTCTTCGCATTAAGGAGTCTTCCTTCTTTCACAGGTGCATCGTTCTCTACTCATATCTTTCCTTCTTGCCCTTCCCTTCCGCCACTGCAATCAAACAACGCGGCGACCGGATCCCAATCGCACAGATAAAGGCTGCCGAGGTCGCTGCATTGGGCGCAGAAGGCACCGTGGAGAGTTCCTGTTTGGGGCAAGATTGACAAGTACGGCTGTGATGGAGAGAACTGGAGCGGGATCGTGCTGACGAGCAAGAAAGCGAGCTGCAAATTTCATACATTTGAACATTATTCGAATGTCGGCGCCGATGATGGCGATAACGACAAGGTGCGCCAAGACACGAATACGACAAGACCGACCACATGCATATACCCAGGTGGATGTATATAGACACATTCATTCAGCCAATGTACCCACATGGCTTAATGCCACCACTAGCAGTATCCTTACGTACTACTTCGCAGCGGGCTTGCCTATTTGACCCGCCTTGTTCGGGGATCTCGCCCCGAAGGTGGTAATTCGACGTGCATCCGGAACAGAGGACATGCATGTGGCGCGAAACCCGAGGCTCCTATACATACGTGCATGCTGGGGCTGCTGATCACTCTTTGTCTAGAGATCCTGTGAGAAAGTCACGATGTGGCTAATCAATTACATACCTTCGTGGCCTCGGGGCTCGCTCGCATCTTGCGAACGCTGTGTCCTCGCGTGCTGAGGCAACCACTTTTCAACAACTAGGCTGATGTAGGCCAAGGCGAGCTGTGTGCCAGGAATAGACAAGGTCGGCCACTTTACCCAGAAAGCTCGGCCAAGCTGGTAGGTGGGACCAGCAATCCAAGGAAGGCATGTTCAAGCTAGGTCCATGTGAACCTGCGTGAAGGAAGCGCCCTGGGCCTGGACAGGCCAAGGCGCGACCGCTGTGCGTGGCCGAGGGCAGGCAAGCTGTGCCGACGCACTGTTTCAGCAACGGCGCCACGACAACCCGCATGGGCATGCCCCGACTGTCCGTCCAGCACGGTGGGCCAGGGCCACAGAGCCCCTGCCCGCTGGATTTAGGTCGGGCCTGTCCCCCTACCAGGGGCCTTTCGGGCGAAACATTTGAACTACCCAACAGATGTTCAAACAATGCCCAAAAATCCGCCGACCCTGTCGGCGTCTGCGAGGGGCTTCCTCGTCCGTTCCTCGCCGCCCTCCCTTCTTCCTTCCCCCTTTTTTCTTTTTGGGCCGTACCCTCCTGCCGTCATGCCGTTGTCGATTCGAAGGGAAGCCCCTTCCCTTTGATCCCTTCCCCAGGGGGGGGGGGTCCCGCCAGGGGTGGGGGAGGGTGGGGGGGTGGGTGGGGGGGCATATTCGTTTTTCCTCGGGCGGCCTCGAAACCTCGAAAACACTCCAAATGAGGTCCGAATGCCCAAGATGGCCCCCGAGACGGCACAAGAGTACCCCGAGTCGCCCAAAGATCGGCCGAAGACGCCCAAGATAGCCCCAAGACCGTCCAAGAAGCCTCCAAGACGTCCCAGGCCCCCTCCAAGAGCACCCCCAAGAAGGGCCCAAGAGGCCACACTCATTCCTTTTCCATCGGAAACTTACATTTCTAGCATATACGACGTTTCGGCCTTCACGGCGTCACAGACAGCTTCGTCTTCAGGGTCGGCGGCACCGGCCGTAAGGCCTTCGCAATACTAAGAAAATCGTCCCCATACAATTTTTTAAACTGTTTTTGAATTTTCCTCCTGTAGAGGGACAGGCCCGACTTAACGCTGGATAGGAGTCACTCCACTGGGCTGAGAACAAAAGAGATAGTTCCTTGGTCCGAAGGATCGCCCTGGGAATTGCAGCAGCTCCAACTGTTCAGTCGGCCGAGGAAGCATAACCGATTAGGACGGGGATGAATGCGACAAAACGGATGCCCACCTCGTTGGACCCCCAGAGGTCAATCAAATCAAACCAAGTATCTTCGCCTGGCCTTCACTCGAACGCCCGCATGGCCAACCTCAAGATCCCCCGACAAACGGTGTCCCGCCCGCAGCGAGGATGGGGATCCCTGGTGGACCAATCACAGCAAACATGCAACAACGCAAGCGAGTGAGCATAAACACATCCTGAAGGCCCGAACATTTTGCATCAACTACCGCCGGGCCTGTACGTCACAGATCGGTGCTGGTACCACTTCGGGCACGCCAGTCGTTGCATGTCGTGCGCCGCTGTGCAGGAGAGGCGCAGCGACGAGGTCGGAGACGGAGGGAGGAGGAGCAGGAAAGAAGCAGGAGGGTGCGGCGTGTGGTGAAGAGGGGGGGTGGGGTGGAGGAGGAGGAAGGAAGAGTGGGGAGGAGGACCCCGAGGAGGAGGAGGAGGAGGAGGAGGAGGAGGAGGAGGAGGAGGAGGAGGAGGAGGAGGAGGAGGAGGAGGAGGAAGAGTAGTAGGAGGAGGAGGATGATGAGGAGGAGGAGGAGGAGGAGGAGGAGGAGGCGGAGGAGGAGAAGGAGGAAGGAGGCGTGGGGAGGGAAGCTTCGTTGTCCGAGCCACTGAAATGCCTGGCGCCTCCCCTCGGTGGCGGCTGCGCTGCGTTCCGCGGGCAGCCGCTCCGCGAGAGGCAGCCGTGCTCTGCTCCGTTTGTCGGAGCCGCACTGCGAGTCTGGGCGTTGCACAATGGGAGGGGGCGATTACTGAGGGGGGCCCAGGCCCCGTCGCGTTGTGAACAAAACTCAGGACGGGAAGTCTTTCGCCGTTTTCGGCCTCCGGTGGGCCTCGGGGCCGTCAAAAACCGGCTCAGGATGAAAAACCGGTCTAGGGGAAGGGGTCCAGACCTCTGGGGGTCGACGTTGTGAAAAAAACACGACGTCGTGGGTCAGGGGGGGAGGCAACAACGTGCACCTATCGTGTCCCTTTTGGGCCCAATATGGGGGCCCTTGTAGGACCCCTCGCAGGTGCACCTCGCGCTTCACCCTCACGTGATACCGGGGCCCAGGATCGCGACACAGATGCCAGGATTCATGCTTTCCCCGTGCTTCCTGGACCTTCTCTGCTTCCCCTCCTCACTGCCCATGTTTTCACACAACTTCCGGGAGACCGGCATGCACCTGGTGAACATTTTCTTATTGGGCGTTTCGACCTTCGGCGGAGAGGGGGGGGGTCTGGCTCTGGACCTCTGCTCAATGCGACTGTTTGCAGCAGTGCTGCCTATGGGGTAGAGTCTACCTGCTCGAAACACGCGCCCCAAACAGCCAAGATCTACTCCATGGGGGGGGGAACGGGGGTTGCGAGGGCCCACGCCGATCGGCAACACAATGAATAAGAAAACGATCACGTGTCTGTGCCGACTGTCTTGCTCCTCCTCCATTGATCCCCGCCCATTGCGCAACGCCCGACGAGGACGGAGCACCGTTACGTAAGCCGGGCAATTTGGCCGGTAGCCTGGCCGGCAGAAGCTGGCATGGGGGAAAAACGGATCCCGAGGGAAGCGGGTCCTGGACTCCGGGGCCTTCCCCCGGGACGAGAGCCTCATCCCGAGTCGTTTTTTGACGGTCCTGGGGCCCGTGGCAGAGGCCCCGAAGCCCCGAACCCGGCGAAAGACCGTCGGACCCCAAACTCCCCTCGGGACCCGCATTCATGCCCCGCGGCGACGCCGGGCAGTCTGGCGAGGCAGGAGGGCCTCCTCCCGGGCAGGCCGGCGAGGCTCCTCCGAGAGCCGGGCCGGCGCTCAGAGGCGGGTCTTCCCCGCGTCCGGGCCCGGCGGGCTGCCGCTCGGGGCCTCGGGGCGGCAGTTGGACTGCTCCTGGGCGGCGCGGCGGTGCTCCTCCATGGCCAGCTTGATGGCGCTGCGCCACCTCGGGGGTGCTGCAGCCCTCCTCGAGAGCAAGCGCAAGCTCTTCCCACGACACGGCGACGCCCCCGGACCCCACTTTCAGTGTTGACGCCGACGCTGGCGACCGCAACTTTCTGCTCGACCCCACGGGCCGCGCTGCGCGCGTCCATCAACATGGAAGTTCGGGGGCGAGGGGGTCGGATCAAAACTTGCGCTTGATTTCGAGGAGGGATGAGCTGCACGGTTTCCCCCGGGGCCGTAGGCGACCCGAGGAGGAGGAGGAGAAGGAGGAGGAGGAGGAGGTGGAGGAGGAGGTGGAGGAGGGGAGGAAGAGGAGGAGGAGGGAGGAGGGAGGAGGAGGAGGAGGAGGAGGAGGAGAGGAGGAGGAGGAGGAGGAGGAGGAGGAGGAGGAGGAGGGAGGAGGAGGAGGAGGAGGAGGAGAGGAGGGAAGGAGGAGGGAAGAGGAGGGAGGAGGAGAGGGAGGAGGAGGAGGAGGAGGAGGGAGGAGGAGGGAGGAGGAGGAGGAGGAGGAGGAGGAGGAGGAGGAGGAGGAGGAGGAGGAGGAGGAGGAGGAGGAGGAGGCGAGGAGGAGGGAGGGAGGAGGAGGAGGAGGAGGAGGAGGAGGAGGAGGAGGAGGAGGAGGAGGTCGCCTAAGCCCTTGGGAGAAACTCTCCAGGATGTGCGGCTGGCGTTGCAACAATAGCGCGCGTCGATCTCCGGAGGTGCACGCTGTCCCAGTGGGGCGGTCCACCCCCGCGAGGGGTCCCCTGCTGTGCGCGCTGTGCTCCGCTGCCTCAGGGCTTCTTCGGTGCACGCGATCCCCGAGGTGGGGGATACGTGTATGGAGGCCTCCTAGATGGGGTCCGAGTGGATGGGGTCGAAGGACGGTTGAGGGAAAACAAAACAACACTTCCCCCTCCCCCCGCAATCCAAGGTTGGCACGTCTACGCATCACTGGTCCGACACTCAAACTCGGGAGATCCGAGCCCAACATTGCATTCGGGGGGAGGGGGGACGAGTTCACACCAGATGTTACGCGTGCGTGTTGCTTGATTGTTTCCGACACCTGGATCGTGCCGCATCGCCAATGCATCGCCGATGTATCGGCGATGCATTGGCGATGCATCGGCGACGACGGCGATGCATCGGCGACGTCGGCGTGGGGAAACACGGGCTCCATATCGAGCCGCATCGTCGATACATGGGCGATGCGGTGCGATCCTCCGACCCCATCTACTCGGACCCCATCTAGGAGGCCTAGAGTGTACGGCAAGCTCGTGTCGTGCCGACTTCGGCGTTGGCTCCTGACACCGCGGGGAGCGGTCAACCTTGAACGACAGGCCGTTTCCGAAACGTCGGGTCCTTCAACATCGACCGACTCTGTGTCGCTGGCGGCGTTCAACGTTTAACGCTGGAGGCGGGGCCGCTGGTTGACCCGATACGAACCTGCCGTAATGAGGGCGCCGGTGTTGCCACATCGTACGCTATCTTTCTAGCGCCAAGCGTAAGACGAAGTCAGGACTGGGGCAACATCGGACTCGGGCAAGTCGGGGATCTCTGAGACCCGGCGGTTCTGGATGCTGTATCGGGCTCCGGGACGCTCTGAGAGCGTTGCGGAACGCTCTGGCACGATCATTCCCGTCCTAGATCTCTCCTCGAAAGCAGACGCATTTTTTTGTTCCCCGCGACGTGGCGGCGCCAGTGGACACCCAATTTCAATGTACGTAAGGCCCTACTACCTCGCGTGCTGGTCCAAGCTGGGCATGGACCGACAGGCCCTGCCCAGCATGGCTGAGCCCAGCTTGGATGGCCTGGCCCTGCTGGCAGGAGAAGGGGTGGGGGGAGACGAATGAGGAGTAGGGAGATGAGGATGACGAGGGCGAGGGGGCGGATGAGTTGAAGGATGCTTCCAACGAGCCTCCAAGCAGCACCCACCCGATGGGGCGATCTACCCTGCGGGGAAGGATGCTTCCAGCGAGCCCCCAGGCAAAACCCATCCGATGGGGCGATCTGACCTGACATCGCCTGTGACACGTCGCGACCAACACGACCGTTTGCAAAGACACCAGCCACTTTTCGGCCTCCTTATCACTCTCGGTCGTGAGCCGCACATATTCTTTGCTATGTGTCTCGACGACCACGTCCTTGGAGCCCCTCTTGTGCTGCACATTCTTGATGTGAGGAATCGCCATCGCACCTGGGGTCGACATGATGATGAGGCAAGGGGATAATGAGGCAGGAGGAGGAGGAGGACACATAGGATGATGATGATGATGATGATGATGATGATGGTGGTGATGATGATGATGAGGAGGAGGGTTTTGAGGAATGGATTCTCAATGCGTGCGCCCAGTGCCAACAGTGGGTGGGTAACTCACTTCAACCACAAGCATCAGGGACCCGTGAGGCAGACATGCTCCGCCCGCAATCGAGATGCAAGCCGCGTCTTGCGGCAGAGCTGGACGCGGAGGCAACACAGACCACTATCCATGGCTGGCGCCCCTCCGTTGGCTGAGGTTCCCTGCGGCAACAGCCCAGGCGCCTGCGCCCCACACTCCTTCGCATGCGGCTTCTCGGTCTCTTATACCTCGCCGAGATGCAAGGCTTCCAGCACAGTTCGCGAAGGTCCTATCAGCCGCGGGTAAAACATTTTCCTGCTGCGGGACAGGTTCCCCTGTCACTTGCGGCCCGGCCCGTCGCAGATCTCTTCCACATGTTTGAGATCAGTCGTCGCAAATTGGCCGCGACACGTGCGCGAGTGCGGTCTGTATTTGGCCCAATGTCCTTTCATATTGGCCAGGTGTATCACGCGAGGCTTGGTCGAGGCAAATGGGGCGCGCTTTCGCGCCGCATCCTGACATCCTACATCGCAGAACATGACCCAATACCTTTGACGCAGTATAACTGTTTACGATGTCGGCGCTGCCACTTGCACCCAGCCTTCTGGAGGCTGTGTGCAGGGGCCCGAACCGCGATCTTGGGGCGGGAGGGGGGCCTTCCTACCTCCGGGCCCTTCCTCCATTTTCGTTCCTTTGCTATCGGCATCGAGGGGCAGCTCCAAGGCGTGCCTCGCGCCTCGCGCGGGCTCGGACAACGCTTGCAGTGGCGCTCTACAGGTCAGCCCTGTCAGCCGCGTGTGTGTGCAGGCCTCCTCGTGCGCTCCTCCGCCGCCCTCCTCCCGCATCAGCAACCGTGTCTCCCGTGGCCAAGAAGTCGTCGCGGCTGGAGCGGATGCGCTCGAAATGATTCCTCCGCGCGTGAAGGGGCCCGCTCGAGCGTGACTTCGCCACCTCCTCGCGCCGCCAGGGCCTGACGGGCTCCGAGCCAGAGGTCCTCACTGACATTCTTGGACCGTCGAACACTGCGCTTCGGCCAGGCGCGCGCAATGGCCTCCTGGTCCGTCGCGTATTGCGCGTCCCCAGCAGTGTTTTCAATGGCCCAGCACAGGGCCAAAAGTTCGGCCCTCGGCGCGATTTGACGATGGCCCGTGAACGGCGCAACAGTCATCGCGCCCAAGCTGCATCCTTCCGCGCCCGCGCAGGTAACGGCGGCAGCAACTCTGCGCCCCCTCCTTCTGTGTCATCCGCGTGCTTCCCTCCCGATCCGCCCCCGAACGCAGCCGACCGACCTCCCGCCAGATAGTCGCACAGGCAGCCCGCTCAAAAGGGAAGGGCAACGTCGTGCAACTTATCCTCATCAAATTCTCGGACAAGTCAGGTCCTGGGCAAGGATCCCGTGGGGCCGCAATGCCCGCTGGTTTTCACGCCAGGGCCATTGGAGCCAGACAATCTGAGCGCTTCAATGCAAGATGCGATGCCGACTTGTTTTCGCGGCGCACCCAGGCCCCATGCGTTGGGTTCTCTGATTCGAGGCGCCGGCGCGGGCGGAGCTGATTGACGAGATATCCTCGCTAACGGCGTCGGCGTCTCGTCAATTGGCCTGAACTAGCCACCGCCAGGTCTAGCGACCGCTCTGTCCACTGCTGGCGGCGTGCCATGCGCCGGAGCTCGCCTCTGAGCGGCTGCAGGCCCGCCCCGTCAGTCAAGTCATCTCCGCGTTCACGTCTTGCAGCTGCTCGCCTGAACCAGGGGGCGAGGTCTGTCTTGAGGTCGCGCAGCAGCCCCTGGTGGTCGATGGGCTCGCCGAAAGGCTTGCAGTCCTCCTCCACCGAGCGTCGCTCGGTGTGGGTCCCGTGCAGCGCGTCCCCGTCAGGGGCGCCAGATGGGCCTGAAAACAAATACCCAAATCAGGCCTTGCTTTCCTTCGCTCCGCCTATGGTTCCACATTTTTCAACGTTCCCCGTCCGGTGGTTAGGTCGGGCATGTCCTCTTACAGGCGGATATTGGAATAGTCAACAATAGTAGAATAATCGACCCCAACCTATTTATTGGGGGGGGATTATTTTTGAATATCCCTCCTGTAGAGGAACAAGCCCAGCTTAATTCCGCGCTTCTTTGGCTCAAGTGCTCCGCGATCGAGCTGCGCCCAAGAGGTCACTGTGCTCGGCCCCCCGCCCGCGTGCGTCGGCGCGGCCCGCGAGGCGCCGATGGGGCCTCGGGCGCTCGCCCGCCCATTGCTGCATCCAGCTGCAGGGAGGCCCGTGGCGCGCGCCGCTCCGGGCTCCTCCTTGCCCGCGCGTGGAGCTCAGGGGCCGTCTCCTAGAGCGCGAGCCGAGCTTCTTCGGTTCGAGTGCTCCGTGATCGAGCTCGGCCCAGAAGGTCGCCGTGCTCGGCCCCCCGTCCGCGGGCACCGGCGCGGCCCGCGGGGCGCCAGTGGGGCCTCGGACGCTCGCCCGTCCAGTGCTGCATCCAGCTGCAAGGAGGCCCTTGGCGCGCGCCGCTCCGGGCCCCTCCTCGCCCGCGCGTGGAGCTCAGGGGCCGTCTCTGCGAGGCGGGGATCTATCCACGCCCGCCGCCTGGGAACCGACGTCCCGGCGCCCCGGCGGGCGGCGGATATGGATATATTTTGGCCCCCAGGGGCCCGAATATATCCATATCCGCCGCCTGCGAGGTCCTCGACAGTTGATCCTCAGGCGGCCTTGGAGTCTCTTAGAGCGCGAGCCAGGCTTCCACGAATTCCTGCTTGAACTTCGCGCCCGAGTCGGCCGCCAGTGTGGCCGCAAGGGCCGTCGCGGGGCAGCGGCCGCCCACCTTGCCTCCAGCGGCCTTCGTCGGATGTCCGCGTGCCTCCAGCGCTCTGGACTGCGCTGGCCCCCGTCGCCCGCAATCCGCGCGCCTCCGTGATCGACGCTGGCGCCCTGTGCGACATCGCGATCTTGGTCGACAGCTTCTTGGCCGCCAGCAGGCGCAGGCGCTGCTTCTGCGCGTGGCAATGTCGCCCAGCAAACGCGCCCCACCCTGGGCCCACCGCGTGCTGGGCCGCCTGGATGGGCCAGCTTCTCACGCTTCATGATCTCCTCGAGCTGTTTCCCAAGCTCCGCGTCTGAGCTGAGCAGCTAAGTCTTCCTGGGCGCGGCCAGGCCGAGCTCGCCCGCGAAGCCGTCCGCGAAGACCTTCGCCACCGCTAGGGGTGTGCTCCAAGACTGCCTTCTTGGGGTGCTCGCGGCGGGCAATCGTGTCGTCCACGAACGTCCTTAACCTCGCTGACGGGTCCCTCGCGTACGCCTTGGCCAGCGCCCGGTGGATGTAGACTTTCGCCAAACTGCCCCCAAGGACAGATCCTGCCGCGACCGACCTCGATGGGCGCATCAATCCCGCGCACCCCGAACATCCTGTCCTGGAGCATGCGCAGCGCCAGGGACATCTGCGCCCACATGGCCACCACGAGCTCAAGGTACTAGACCTGCACCGCCAGCTCCATCAGTAGGACAAGGCTGATCATGTCGCAGAAGATCTGCAGGTACAGCAGAAGAGTGACCGAGGCCGTGCGGAGCTCGCGTCCAACCTCGTCCAGCAGGGCGCGATGCAGCGCCGCCCTCATGGACGAGGATCCTCGGATGGTCCAGTCCTATAAGGCTCCTAACTCCTCCGACCACGTCCAGACAATGGCCCCCCTCGCCTCACTCCAGACTTTGGGCAACAGCGGGGTCATCCTGAGCACTCTGTCACCACTGGCTGGTTCGGGCGCCGCCGCCATCGCTGTCATGCACTCACTGACGCGGCCAGCAGCCACAGGCCTCGCAGTCGTTGGCGATGCTCGCCATCTCCTGGCGCGCTTCCTGCGGCAGGCGCAACGCGTCGTTCGCCCCCAACACGTCGACGCCCTGCGCCTTCCTCGCCCTCGCCGTGGCGATCGCCCCGCAGAGCTCCGCCGCAGTGCGCGGGGGGTAGTCCTCCTCACAAGCCGCCCTCAGCGTGTGCATGAGCTGCTCGTGGATCGCCTGGGGTTGCTCCCTCGCCTCCTGCCACGTGGCGTCCCACTCTTGCGCCCTGCCGCCCATGATGATGTCGGGCTAGCTGATGGCCTGCGCGTTGGCCGTTAACACTTGGAGCAAAGGCTTCTCCTACTTCACACGTTGACGGGGCCACCCAGCATGCTCTCGCCAGGCCGTCCGCGCCCACTGCGTGAATTGCTTCCTGGACTCGCCAATGGCCCTGGCCTGCCCAGTGGTGGTCAGTATGTCCGTCTCCTCGAGGAACTGCTGCCTCCGGTTCCTGCCCAGGCCGACGATTTTCACCACCTTATCCTTCCACGCTGGATGTCGCCCTCTCTTGCTCTCCGCAAGGAAGGCCCGGGTGCCTTGGCCATCCATGTCCGTGGTGGTATTCAGTATCTGCTGTGCCAGCCTGCCTTGCTGGTATGTGTCTCTCTCTTGCCTCTCGCGACGATGCAATACCAGTCGACTGGCCTCGCCATGTGTGTCATGCTCTCCGCCCCGTGGTTCGTGCGCTCTGCCAAGTATTTGCTTGGCTTGCGCCGGACAGTGTCGAGGCCTCCGCTGCGACCACAATGCGGCCGCCTCTCCTGGCTGGGGACCTCGTGGGTGCTGAGGATCGCGTCTTCAAACCGGGCCACCACCCGACTATAGCGCTGCGACATCTGCTGCTGCTGGCCCTCTCGCCCCACACCCAGCCAGGCGCCCCGCGCCGCGCTCCAGCTCCCCAGCGCGACGAAGAACGGTGCTGTGGGCGCTGGCAGTGCCTCGGGCTCCTCAGGGATTTCTGCAGAGGCCTCCTGGTACTCCTCAGGTAGAGCATCATGGCACTGCTGCATGCGCTACCGCTTCCCCTTTTGGAGGTCTTGCTTTCAGGGTCCGCCCGAATGCGGGGCCTTGCAGCACGAGGAAGGAGCTTGGCATTGCATAGGCTCCTCGACCACCACTCTTCATAGAAGCACTTGACCCTGATCTCGAGGCCGCAGCATACCTGCCAGGGAACCTTCAGTATGGCGGTTTGACCATCGGAACGAGGACCTTCTGGACAGGAGATAGAGGAAGAGGAGGCGGAGGAGAAGGAGGAGGAGGAGGAGGAGAGGAAGGAGGAGGAGGAGGAGGAGGAGGAGGAGGAGGAGGAGGAGGAGGAGGAGGAGGAGGAGGAGGAGGAGGAGGGAGGAGGAGGAGAGGAAGGAGGAAGAGGAGGAGGAGGAGGAGAGGAGGAGGAGGAGGAGGAGGAGGAGGAGGAGAAGTATAATGGGATGAGGAAGGAAGGATCGAAGGACCAGGAGGAGGAGAAGATAGAGGAGGAGGAGGAGGAGGAGGAGGAGGAGGAGGAGGAGGAGGAGGAGGAGGAGGAGGAGGAGGAGGAGGGGAGGAGGAGGAGGAGGAGGAGGAGGAGGAGGAGGAGGAGGAAGAGGAGGAGGAGGAGGAGGACAAGGAGGAGAAGAAGGAGGAGGAGAAGGAGGAGGAGGAGAAAGAGAAGTAGAGCGACAATGGAAGAGGGGAGAGGACGGAGGAGGAGGAGGAGGAGGAGGAATGGGGGAAAATGATGAGAAAGAGGAGGGGAAGGAGGAGGAGGAGGAGGAGGAGGAGGAGGAGGAGAAGCGATGATGATGATGATGATGATGATGATGATGATGATGATGATGATGATGATGATGATGATGATGATGATGATGATGATGATGAGATGATGAGGAGGAGGAGGAGGAGGGAGGAGGAGGAGGAGGAGGAGGAGGAGGGGGGAGGAGTGGGATGAGGAATGGGATGAGGAAGGAAGGATAGGCGGAGGAGGAGGAGGAGGAGGAGGAGGAGGAGGAGAGGGATGAGGAGGAGGAGGAAGAGGAGGAGGAGGAGGAAGAGGAGGAGGAGAGGAGGAGGAGGCGGAGCAGGTGGGGGAAGAAGACTTTGATGACCAATAATGAAATTTGGAAGGGCCCCGACGGCCTCCTCGCGGCCCGAGCTCCGTCAACGCCTCGGCGTGAACCCCCCCCCGCCTCGGCATCGGCCGGGGATCTGGGCCGGCCAGCGGACACTTGCGCCGCAGCGGTGCTCGTCGAGCCCTGAGAGAGAGAGAGAGAGAGAGAGAGAGAACAAACGTAGAGAAAGAGAGAGAGAGAGAGACAGTGAGAGAGAGGGACCGAGAAAGAGAGAGAGAGAGAGAGAGGGAGAGAGCGTGCCGCCCCTTGCAACATTATTGCGGGCTCCTGCTCCTCCTCCTCCTCCTCCTCCTCCTCCTCCTCCTCCTCCTCCCTCCTTCTCTCCTCCTCCTCCTCCTCCTCCTTCCTTCCTTCCTTCCTTCCGCCCTTCTCCTCCTCGTCCTCCTCATCCCTTCTCCTCCTCCTCCTCCTCCTCCTCCTCCCTTCTTCTTCTTCTCCTCCTCCTGCTCCTCCTCCTTCTCCTCCTCCCCCTCCCTTCTTCTCATCCTCCTACCCCGCCTCGTTCTCCCCGCCTCTTCGTCCTCTTCCTCCTCCTCTTCTTTTTCTTCCTCCTCTTCTTCTTCCTCCTCCTCCGTTGGAACTCTGTCCTGCATGCGCCTGGCTTGGCCTGATCCGTGGCCGTCTATGGGATCCCATGGGCGGTCTTCGGTGGTTTGCAGGATTAACAACGCTGTTTTACAAAGAAACGAATTTTCGTTGCTGGCGACCCCAACATCTGAGTAACCACTGGCTGGCTGGACCTCGCTAGTACGTCGGAGGAAAAGTGTGTGTGTGTGTTTGTGTGTGTGTGTGTGTGTGTGTGTGTGTGTTTGTTTGTTTGTTTGTTTGTTTGTTTGTTTGTTTGTTTGTGTGTGTGCTTGCACCAGAAGTTGCAGGAACGACGCAAGTCAAGCAAGATCTCGCTTGACGTTTCGGCGCGCAGAACACTAGCTCCTCAACTGAGTGCGCCACGTGCGAGTCAGTACCACCTCGGCGGGGGGCTCTTTACTGGTGTCCGAGCGGCGGCAGCTGCGATGCCAACGAGCCTTCCGCCGCCCCATCCCTTCGACCTCTGACCATCCCTGTGGATGGACTCTACAGTCGGACCTAGGCCAGAAGAACATTCCTCAATAACACCAGACCCTATGTCGGCTACAGACAAAAACATCGAAAGGTACCCTCCACAGGATGCACAATAATATCCAACAAACATGAAGAACACTAGGGTACCCTCCCCGAACCGACCTCGATCTTATACCTCGGTCCGACTCTACTCAACATTATCCTGGAAAACGCGTTACGTGCGAAAAACTCGTGGGCACCCACTCTCCAATGCCGGTCGTCGTGGAACTTCCCAGTCGCGCCGGCCCGGACCGTGTTCTGGTCTGCCTCGACACTGAGGTGGGCGAGGTTGAGGGGCCGAGGGGAAGCGACACCGAAGTGGCGCGTCAACAGCTTCTGAAGTCAATTCTGTTGAGGAGGATAGGAGGAGGAGGAGGAGGAGGAGGAGGAGGAGGAGGAGGAGGAGGAGGAGGAGGAGGAGGAGGAGGAGGAGGAGGAGGATGAGGAGGAGGAGGAGGAGGAGGAGGAGAGGGCAGGAGAAGGAGAGAGTAGGAGTAGTAGGAGTAGGAGTATGAGTCAAGCTAGCCAGCTCGAGCGAGTCAAGCATGGCATGCCCATTCTCACCCGCCCTCCCACGACATAAGAAACAGTGCTGGCGAAACTGGGGACCGAAGTCAGATCGGCAAGGTGGTTTGCCACAGCTGATGCAGCAGCGATGGCGGTTATCGATGGGGAATCCCTGGCGCGTCTCAAAGACTGCGCTGGCATTTCAGCACGAGCCGAGGAGGCCCCAGGAAGCCTCAGAAGGCCCCAGGAAGCCTCAGGAGAAGCCCCAGCGACCCCCAGGAAACCCCAGGAGGCTTGAGGGCCCAGGAAGCCCCAGGTAATTTCGGGAGGCTTCAGGAAGCCCTAGGAAGTGTCAGGAAACCCCTGGGAACCCCAGGAAGCCCCAGGATGCCTCAGGAGGCTCCAGGAGGATCCACGAGGCCCTGGGGAAACCCCAGGGAAGCCCCAGGATGTCCCAGGAGACCCTGGGAGGCCCCAGCGGGCCCTACGCGCTCGACGAATTGGCGAGCGAAAAATGTGCGCCGCGCCTTAGCGGGAGCGCAACTTTCAGAAAACATGCGCGCGGCGCCGAAGCGAGAGCGACATTTCGCCCTGTCGTGCGCGATGTGCACCGCGCCCCCTTCCTGCCACGCATTTCGCAAAGCCGACGACAAAAAACATCCCCACTGAGAAGAAGCATGTCGACTTTGTATGGCTTTTGACAGGTCGGATGGCCCCTCCCACTTAGGGTTGCCCCAGACGTCCGCGCACGATGTGCGCCGCGTCCTATTCCTGCTACGCATGTCGCATCGTCGAAGAAAAAACAGGCCATGTAGAGAAGAACAACGGGGACTTCGTATTGATTTTCTACTATCACGATGGGAGGGCCGGGATTGACGGCCGCGCGCGGTGTGCGCCGCGTCCTGTTCCTGCTACGCCTTTCGCATCGTCGACGAAAAAAGCGGCCATGTTGAGAGAAACAACGACGACTTCGTACTGATTTCTTACAATTAGGATGGGATGGCCCAGATGGGGCCGCTATCGGCCGGCCAGAGGGGCTAGTAAGAGTATACTCTAATAAAGGGTAAGACAGGAATAGGAGGATGAGGATGAGGATTCGGATGAGGAGGAGAAGGAGGATAAGGATAAGGAGGAGGAGGAGGAGGAGGAGGAGGAGGAGGAGGAGGAGGAGGAGGAGAAGAAGAAGAGGAGGAGGAGGAGGAGAGGAGGAGGAGGAGAGGAGGAGGAGGAGGAGAAGGAGGAGGAGGAGAAGGAGGTGAAGGAGGAGGAGAGGAGGAGGAGGAGGATGAGGATGAGGAGGAGGAGGAGGAGCAGGAGGGGGAGGAGCAGGTGGAGGAGGAGAAGAAGGAGGAGGAAAATAATGAAGAGAAGGAGGTGAAGGAGGAGGAGGAGGAGGAGGAGGAGGAGGAGGAGGAGGAGGAGGGTAGGAGAAGGATAGGAGGAGGATCGGGGGAGGGTAGGAGGAGGATAGAAGCAGGATAGGCGAGGATAAGAGGAGGATAGGAGGAGGATCGGATGATGATAGGAGGAGGATAGGAGGATAGGAGGAAGAGAGCACGAGGATAGGAGGAGGAGGAGGAGGAAGAGGAGGAGGAGAAGGAGGAGGAGGAGAAGGATAGGAGGAAGATAAAAGGAGGAAGAGATGAGGAGGAGGAACGGAGAAGGATAGGAGGAGGAGGATAGGAGGATGATCGGAGGATGACCGGAGGAGGAAGGGAGGAGGATGAGGATGATGCTGATGATGAGGAGGATGAGGAGGTGGAGGAAGAGCAGGAGAAGGAAGATGAGGAGGAGGAGGGGGAGGAGGGTAGGAGGAGGATCGGAGGAGGGTAGGAGGAGGAGGAGAGAAGGAGGATAGGCGAGGATAAGAGGAGGATGGGAGGAGGATCGGATGATGATAGGAGGAGGATAGGAGGATAGGAGTAGGAGAGCACGAGGATAGGAGGAGGAGGAGGAGGAGGAGGAGGAGGAGGAGGATAGAAGGAATATAAAAGGAGGAGGAGGAGGATAAGGAGGAGGAACGGAGAAGGATAGGAGGAGGAGGATAGGAGGATGATCGGAGGATGACCGGAGGAGGATAGGAGGAGGAAGGGAGGAGGAGGATGAGGATGATGCTGATGATGAGGAGGATGAGGAGGTGGAGGAAGAGCAGGGGAAGGCAGATGAGGAGGAAGAGGAGGAGGAGAGTAGGAGGAGGATCGGAGGAGGATCGGAGGAAGATAGGAGGATAATATGATGAGGATAGGAGGAGGAAAGGAGGAGGAGGAGGATCGACGGATAATAGCAGGAGGATATGATAAGGACACGGAAAGGATCAGATGAGGATAGGAGGAGGAAGGAGATAGGAGGAGGATATGAGGCGGATATGATGAATCTATGAGGAGCATCGGAGGAGGATAGGAGGAGGATAGGAAGATAGGAAGATGGTGATGATGAGGAGGGGGGGGGAGGCGGAGGAGGAAGACAATGAGGAAGACAAGACGGAACATGCGGATAATGAGGAGGAGGACGAGGAGGGTAGGCTGAGGAGATGAGAAGGCTATGAGGAGGATCGGAAGAGGATATGGGGAGGATTGGATAATGATAAGAGGAAGATAATAAGCGGATATGATAACGATATGATGAGGATCTGAGAAGGATAGGAGGATAGAAGGAGGACATGATAATGATAACAAGAGGATATGAAGCGGATAGAAGGAGGATATGATGAGGAGGATCGGAGGAGGGTAGGAAGCGGAAATGAGGAGGATCGGAGGCGGATAGGAGGAGGATCGGAGGATCGGAGGAGGATAGGAGGAGGATCGGAGAAGGACAGGAGGAGGGTATGAGGAGGGTCGGAGGAGGAGGAAGAGGAGGAGGAGGAGGAGGAGGAGGAGGAGGAGGAGGAGGGGGAGGAGGAGGATCGGAGGTGGCTATGAGGAGGGTTGGAGGAGGAGGAGGAGGAGAAGGAGGAGGGGGAGGAGGAAGAGACGTGGGATGAGGATGACAGGAGGAGGAGGAGGAGGAGGAGGAGGAGGAGGAGGAGGAGGAGGAGGATGAGGAGGATAACAATACAGACGAGGAGGATGAGGATAGGAGGAGGAGGATGAGGAGGAAGAGGAAGAGGAGGAGGAGAAGGAGGAAGAGGAAGCGGAGGAGGATGATGATGAAGAGAAGGAGGAGGAGAAAGAGGATAATGAGGATGATGATGAGGATGCGGATGCGTAGGATGAGGCGGAGGGTCGGATGATGATATGAGGAGGATCGGAGGAAGACAGGGGGAGGATCGAGGGAGGACATGTTGAGTATATGAGGAGGATAAGAGGAAGAGGATGATTGGAGGAGGACAAGGGGATGATAGAGGGAGGGTATGAGGAGGATAGGATGGGGATAGGAGAAGGACAGCACGATGATAGGATGAGGAGATGAGGTTCGGAGGAAGATCGGATGATATGAGGAAGAGGATCGGATAAGGATAGGAGGCGGATAGGAGGGGGATATGCGGAGGATCGGAGGAAGATAGGATGATGATGCTGCTGCTGATGATGATGAGGATGAAAAGAAGGAGCACGAGGAGGAGGGGATGACGACAGAGGAGGAGTAGGATGACATGAGGAGGATAAGATGAGGATCGGAGGAAGATAGGAGGAGGATACGAGGAGGCTCGGGGGAGGATATGATAATCATATGATGAGGATAGGAGGAGGATAGGAGGAGGTGGTGGAGGAGGAGGAGAATGAAGAGGAGGATCTGAGGTGGATCGGAGGAGGGGGAGGAGGAGGAGGAGGAGGAGGAGGAGGAGGAGGAGGAGGAGGTGGAGGAGTGCACGAGGCCAAGGAAGGCATAGAATTAGGCCGACCCGACCCTAATTCAATACCTGGCAAGCTCCCCACGTCCTCCCGGGAGAGCAGCAAGGGCGGGGGCGCGCCTGGCGATGCCGCAGGCGGGCCGCGGTGGCACGAGCGAGGCAGCTCGCCACCACACGAAAGCTACCCCAGAAGCGAGCTTAGGCGATGATCCCGCCTCTTGAGCTGCTTCAAACGGGCACGCATCCCGCCTTGAAGCCGCAGAGCCCCCGTCGGAGGCGACAAGCTGGGAGCGTAGCGCAAATCATGATAAGCCTGAAAGATGAGATCAAGGAAAATCGCACAGGCCGAAAGCTCCAGTTGAGAAGAGGCGGCCCAAGGGAAGATGGAAACACGCTGCGGCCCCGAGAGCGTGGAAAAGAAAGCAGGAAGATGCAGGACGGCACTGGCACTAGACAGAACAACAGGGCACTCGAGATAGTGAAGAAACTTGTCGGCCCCAGGCGCCGAACAGAAAACGCAGCCACAGGTGGGTCCACGGAACCTGGCAGAACAGCACCAGCCGTTCGAGAACG